AGCAACGGAGCGGCCTCGGCCTCGGCCTCAGCCCGCCGCCCCGAAGCTGTGGGGCGCGCGGCGGCCTCTGCTCCGACACGTGCTCGTGCTGTGGGGGGGCACGTGCCGGCCCCGCCCTCCCCCTCCGTGCGCACGTGGCACGCCCCTGCCTCACGGTGCCCCCCACCTCTGTCTTCTCAGGGGTGCCCGTCTCTGCCCCTCTTCCCCTGAGGGGTGCCCGTGCCTGGCAGGGAGTGCTTGGATCCAACAGCCCAGCGGCGCAGGTAGGAGCAGGGCTTGGGAGCGCCCTCGGGGCCCTTTGGAGCACAAGGCTTCCAGGAAACAAGACTCAGGGTGATTTGAAGCTTTGCAAGTGGTGCAAGCTGGTTTCCTGCAGGATGAGTGCCAGCCCCCGAGGAGCTGTGGGTACCTCGGAGGAGAGCGGCGGGTGGATGGGAGCAGCTGTGATCCCTGTAGGCCAAGCGCAGAGACCTGCTGGGAGGTAACCATGTGTGTCGCGTAGAGGTGCACTGATAGCGGGTCTGAGATCTGAGCAGTACCCATAGAAAGACAACTGGCTGCATCAGATAATGGTCTGATGGCTCAGTTGGGCTGATAAATGCCAGTGCTGCACACAGCTGCAGTGCAGCACTGGGGCAGCGAGGAGCATGGGGAGCTGCCTCCAGCTGTAAGTCTGGTGTGGTGGAAGGGGCATGGGGGGTGGCTTCTGGAGCCATGGCTCAGGGCGCCTCTTGCTTGCACCTGAGGTGGGGGGGGGGTGGCGTGTGTCCATTGGGTCTGTCTGAGGTGGGGTGGGCTGGAGTTGGGGCTGGGCTCAGAGCAGGTGCCGGTGGTGCTGGGAGGATGCTACTTCCACCCCTAATTTTATCCAGCTTAATGCTGTATCTCCACCCACGTGCCAGAAGGAGCTGGGGCTGTGCCTGGTGACATTGCTGCTGAGATGCAGCATCCTCCCAGTATCACCGGTGCTCACTCCGATCCCAGCCCCCACCAAGAAGAGCCCTGCGCAGATCTGGGGCAACCCCCATGCCCTCCTGGGGTGCAAGCAGCAGCAGGAGCCACACACCCCCTACCCATGAGCTGTAGATCCAGCCCCTCACCTTGACTGGGCAGTGCCTCCACCCTTCCTCACTGCAGGGGGCATTGATGTGAGCCCCCCCCCTCCCCTTCCATCACACCAGACTTACAGCTGGAGGCAGCTGTATCGGAAATCAGATCAGTGTCAATCAATATGCCTCCTTAAATATTGGCTATTGGTATTGGCCCTAAAAATCTATTGCTGCCCCCCTAGTGTTGTGTAAGGGATGAAGCATGGGGCAAGTGTAAGATCTGTCTGCTAAGCAGACAGGTAAGTAGCTGCGTGTTACAGGACCCAAGCTCTGCTGCAGTTTTCTCATTGGCGTCCTTGTATGGCACCTTGTTCTTAACCTGTAGCCTCTGTGCCTACTGCTGTTTTGTGTCGTCAGCAGGCAGGTCTTGTGGGCCTGATGGGTGGTGTGGACTCTGTGGCCTGGATCACAGGCCACCCTGACTCAGCTGTGTACTGGCAGGATCTGGTATGCAAGGCCAAGTTCTCTGGTCCAAGGGCTCCCCCACAAGTTCAGAGGTTTGACACTGGGGACCAGTAATGAACACTGTCACTGCTCCCCTGCTGCCAAAGTTCCTGACCCTTGGGGAGCCTGTAGGCTGGATGATACAGCTCCATAGGCGGGGGGTTGAGCA